TATTTTATTTTAAATGCTTTTTCAAATCTAACATAAAACATATTATTAACATCTTTGGAATTCATATTAACATAAAAGAAGGAGTAGGGCTTATCATCTACCGCTTTATGATACATATTTAACAGTTGCTCTTTATCAACGATGGCGGAGTTTTCCTCAATGAATGACATTAACTCTGATACATTCTTTAACTTGAAGATATACAACGAACTAGAATTCAACCTAATGATTGGTGCTAGGACACGATATTTTTGAACGCTTAAACAAAAACTAATGGCGTCGTGCCTGCCTCTCGTTGCCAGTCCATGAAGTAACTTACTATATCTAACAAATTTAGGGTCGTCTGCAAAATCATCAACTATGATTAAAATTGAATGTAGTTTCTTCATCTTCTGTTCTTTCATATAATGAATTATCTTTCTTTGTGTGTTAATTATTTCTTCCAGTTCTTCAGGTTGGTAGGTGTCATAATATAACTTTTCTTTTCATCATCAACCTTCATATTATCTTTTTGATATTTCTTGACTTCAACGAAGGTAGGGTCATTATGAACCGACGGGCTAAAAATGAATATACGGGCGAAGCAGTCCCTATAAACATTTAGGATAAGGTTTTGAATTAAAACTGTTTTGCCACCCGTTGATGAAGCAACAACAATTGAGCGAAAAGGTAGTTTTGGTACATGTTCATATTTAGATTGTTTGAAATCGTAATCAGTTATATTTATTGGTTTTATTATTGGAACATCAGACATAATAAAATAATATTAAAGTTATTTAGAAAATATTTTATATTTATTATTTTATATGAATAGAAGTTATTCGGATTATATTGATATAATAGATAAAGTAGAAAATATAGAACAAGTTGTTATAACTGATAATAGATTTAAGAAAGTATGCTATTTTGTTTTAGAATTAATTAAGTTTGTGATACAATATATTAAAAATATAAATATTAATATAGATGGGAAGAAAGAAAAAGAATAAGACAGAATCAGTTGTTTCTTCAACTGATGAAGAAAAAGAAGAAATTGTTAAAGAAACATCAGTTATTGAGTTTGCTTGTCCAATGTGTAAAAAAATCTTAGAAATGAAAAATGAATTAGAAATACAAAAGAAAGGAAACTGTAAATGTTCGTGTATTCCGACAAGTTTCAAAATAAGTAGAAATGATAAGAAAATGAATATTGATAAAACTAAAGACAGTATAAACTTAGAAACAGATGTTCATAATATAGCTATACGATTTGGGAGGGGAGTTACTCCATCAGATAATGGTGATAAGGAAACTCAGGAAACTGTTAAACAAATAATGAAAAATTAGTATTTAAAGAGTAGATTTAACATAATTGCAACATTTAGTTTTAAAAGTTTAGTTTTATAATTTAGTATATATGGAGGAACATTTAGCGAACATTGACAGTAGTTTAGAGTTGTTGTTTCCAAGATTAGAAAAAGTGTTGGAGCAAAATGAAAACATACTGAAAATCTTAAAGAGCTTGAATATTAAACCTACATATGATAACAATAACAATTATCAAGCAAAAGAAGTAGATAGAGACAGTAGCGAATACAAAAATAAACGAAACATTTATGTTAAAAAACTGAATGAAAAAATCATAAAAGAACCTAAACAATCAAGTCTGGATTACTATCAAGTCAAGTATAAAGAAGATACCAAGAAATACGTTTAATCATTAACTAACAAAATTTCGTGTCTCAAAAGCGGTTTGTTTATTCCTGCTACTTTGTAAGTTTTATTACCCATAATATCATATTCAATTTTATCAATATTGAATATTTTATTAGACCATTTAGAGTTATACTCCTTTCTGTCAGTGTAATTACCCCTCTTCTTTTGGAACACTTTTACCTTGTCGTTCTCCACTATTCTGGGATACTTTCTTTTGTTTTTTTCTCGTAGTTTAAGATTGACCTTTACATTTATTTCATTGTCGTCCTTGTGTGCTTCAGACGGTGTCATCCTTGTTGATGAGTGAGATGTGCTGTTATACTGTTTCAATGCCGGCGTTAGGGCGTCGGTCCATTTCATGTTGTTAAACCTAACTCTATCGTGAATTTTGTTTTTCATCGTTCTAATAAAACGCTCGGCCACATTTGCGTGGGTCTTCGTGACGATGTGGTTTATTCCTTCACTGTTGAAGAAATCCTGAACTTGATTTTTAGTTGCAAACGCTCCGTCGTCATCAGAATACACGGACATCGGATAACCCATCTTTTTAAAGCTTGTTCTCAACGCCTTCAAAACGTGCTCTCCGTCTCTTTCCTCCATCGGTATTACATCAGCTAATTTACTGAAGATGTCAATCACGACTAAAGCATACTGTGGAACGATCTTGTCTTTTGCTAAAGGTGACATATGCATTATGTCTATTTGATATTCATATAGCGCGAATGGAGCGGTATAGGAATTAGTACCTCTATAATTTTTGATTTGTTTATTTGGTTGTTTCTTTAAGAAAGACTTTACATCGTCTAATGTTATTGATGGGTCTTCTTCCTTTGCCTTCTTGTGTGTCGCTTGTGTGCTTCCGAAACCCTCGTCTAAGTCGTAATAGATGTTGCTGATTATTTGGTCTTTTGTTAATCTCGCCATTATATTAAATTGTTAGAAAAAATTATCAACATAAACCCCGCCCCTTAACATAAAATAAAAACTACTTAAAGAAATATTAACTTATTATATTAAGTGAAAATATGACTGAAATAAGACTAGAGGACTTGAATTTAGAAAATGTCGGAGTGATTGCTGACTTATCAAACTTGGTGCTATCAGACGAAGAAGATGATGATAATGACAGTTATAAAAAGGAATTAGATGAAGAGTTAAACAAAATAAAGGATTTCATCAAAAGACACCCTTTGCCACCAGTTGATGAAAACGAAGAATTCTGGAATGATGTCATTAGCAGGTTTAGGGATAATAGCGGATTAAACTTGATGACGATATACTCATTTGTTAGGTTTGACATCATGAAAGAAATGTATGAAAACCTAACAGATGAAGACATCATAAAAGACTGTGGTAAAAAGTTAAACCGTGATGGAAAGTTTAATGCAATGATTATTAACCACTATATCTTATCAGGAGCGATACGGAAACTAAACAAAGAAGACAGTCTAGTAGATGGACAGATGCGAATTATTGAATTCTGGTGGGATGGAATAGGTGAATGGAAAGCGTGAGTGATTTAGTTTAATGATATTATTCAATTATAATATGATTAAACCTAGTTTTTATAATCTATCAACAAGGTTAAGACATTCAAATTAAACCTGAAACCCAGACCAGCCGACCAGCAACCCCTAGCCAAAACTACTTAAAGAGAAAACACCTTATATATAAAGAGAAAAATGAGTGAGGGTAAAATGTCAGAGAATAATTTTATGGTTAAGAATTGTGCTAGCTTACCTATGGAAGCATTGTTAAACATCGCTTCTTATATGAATGGCAATGAAGGGTGGCAAAGACTAAAACAGTGTAAAGCATTAAGGGTCTTACAAAGGAAATGGAAACCGTCTATTTTTGAACGAGAAGGAGAAGGAGAAAGTAGATATTATGTGTTGATTAGCAATATATGTTTGAAAGGTGATAAAGCACTTTCATATGCGTTGAAGCCACCAAAAGAATTATTAAGAATGATGAAGTATGATGAAGAAATAAAGGTTGGAATAGAAGTTAGTTCGAAAATTATGTATAAGAATAATATTTGCAACTGTAGTTATTATGCATCAAGCAAACAGAACAAGATAACAAGTAGAGCGTCATTACAATTTTATATTGAAAAAATAGTTGAAGAAATAAAACAGACTATGAAACGACACGAAATCATTACTATAGAAGATATTACATTTGAAATTTATACATAACAGAAACAATGATTTCGTGGCTTTATCATAATATTTAATTATAATATGATTAAACATTGTTTTATAATCTAACAAGAAGGTTAAGACATTTAAATTAAACCTGAAACCCAGACCAGCCGACCAGCAACCCCTAGCCAAAACTACTTAAAGAAATATTACCTTATATATTAAGAGAAAAATTAACGGTGATGGAATCAATAATTATATCGATAAAAAATGCTATGATTGTTGTCACTTCAAAAAAGAAAATATGGAATTGTTTAAATTGAGTTTACCTAATGAAATAGTGAATAATATTATTAATTATTCAATGGATGAAAAAGACGAATGTGAAAATTGTCAGGAATGGAGAGATAATCAATTTTTAATCAAATGTCTGTTGAGAATAAAAGGAAGACATAATAGAAATGTAGAAGATGATATTTTAATATTTCTAACTGTAAATAAAATACCACCTTACGATTATGTTAAACAGTTTCTTAAAATCAGTAAGAAAAATATGACATGATTTACGATATATTATGGATGTTGGGTTATAGTCAAGAGAAAGGAGAAGATGTTAACGAAAATATCAAATTATTTATTGAAAGTAAAAAGTTTAATGTTCAGAATACAGTGAGAGATGTTAATATTATTTTTAAAATGATGTATGAAAGAAGTAAGACAAATCAATTAAATTATTATCCTGAACTGAAATTATAATCATAATATAATAATAACATGTAAAATCTTATATGTTATAATTATACTGAACTTTTAACCTATAAATGAAAATTAGTGAGAAAAACACTAACAAAACAAATGCACCACCAACGCCCCAGAACTTGATAACTACTAAAAGGGCTACCTCTTTCAAATGAAAAAAATGTCGGCCCCCAGCCCAACAATGAACAAGGGGGGCAATTACCAAAATGATTACCTTAACGAAAACGATAAATAAGCTCCCTAAAAACCCTCTTTTAAAAACGAATAAGGGGGAACACAGATTTGAGATGAACATAAAAACCAGAACAGGCAACCCTCAACAGACCACCCCCCAGGCCCCCTACTTTTACCATTTTTTGCCCCCCCCCCGACCGACCCCACGGCACTCCGCCGATTCCGCGCCTCGGCGGCCTGTGTCGAGGTCTCCAGTGCGACCAGCCGGTGACCCTCACGCTGGAGAGCCGCGGACCTAGTGCCGCGCGCTCTGGCAGTGCCGGGGGACCGAATACGAATGCACGCTACATATTGTCTATGTACGTATATATATATATATATATGCATATATATATATATATGAACAGCGCATTAGAATAATGTGTATAAATAGTACTATCAATATGTATATATAACATATAGTATGGTATAGGTGTGAATACTATGTCTCCAACATGAATACCATCAATTGCACACATGTGGTATCCCTATGATTAGTGAATTGTGTTCTCAAGTGCTTCCAGCTAACCACTACGGATTCGTAAAACAGACCTTTCTACAGAGTTTCACATGGGTTGGCTTCTACTGGGCTTGGACTTTGGATGTCCTTCACTGGGGTCACCAATCAGTTTTGAGGGACTTATGGCAAACCCCAGCAGCGTTTATCAAAAATGATTCCCAATTTTGTGAATTGACGATTGATGTCATTTTATGTCCGTGTGTGTTTTTTAGGGGTCCCATTCAGCATGGTGGTCTTCCTTTTGGTTCCCTTTGAAATCACAAAAACCCTCAATAAAAGACAGACCCTTATGGGTACCTTTGGACATGAGAAATGTGTAGATCTTTCGGGATGTCAAACTCAAGGCGACCAGCGAGTTGACCCACCACTTTGGGGTTCTATGAACAAGTTTCTCTCCTCATTTTCTCACGAGGGGGCTGCAATGGTTGCAAGTTCGGCTTGAAAGCTTGCGCCAACTTGCTGTAGCCATCAGAAACCCCTTTCTTATTCCGGGCTGATTGAACCTCAACTTTACTAGGATCTTTGTCGGGTCTTAGTAGTCCATCTGGTACGTGTCAAACTAAGGGCAACAAAATTGGATGGTTTCCGTTGTCCCTTCAAACCGCCCAACAACTGTACAAACAACGTGCCTTGACCATCACAAGCACAACAAACAAACAAACAAACAGACAGACAGACAGACAGACAGCCAGCCAGCCAGCCAGACAGCCAGCCAGACAGGCTGGCAGGCATTGATGCATTCGCGCAGGCAGGCAGGCAGGCAGGCAGGCAGGCAGGCAGGCAGGCAGGCAGGCAGGCAGGCAGGCAGGCAGGCAGGCAGGCAGGCAGGCAGGCAGGCAGGAGGCAGGCAGGCAGGCAGGCAGGCAGGCAGGCAGGCAGGCAGGCAGGCAGGCAGGCAGGCAGGCAGGCAGGCAGGCAGGCAGGCAGGCGCAGGCAGGCAGGCAGGCAGGCAGGCAGGCAGGCAGGCAGGCAGGCAGGCAGGCAGGCAGGCAGGCAGGCAGGCAGGCAGGCAGGCAGGCAGGCAGGCAGGCAGGCAGGCAGGCAGGCAGGCAGGCAGGCAGGCAGGCAGGCAGGCAGGCAGAGGCAGGCAGGCAGGCAGGCAGGCAGGCAGGCAGGCAGGCAGGCAGGCAGGCAGGCAGGCAGGCAGGCAGGCAGGCAGGCAGGCAGGCAGGCAGGCAGGCAGGCAGGCAGGCAGGCAGGCAGGCAGGCAGGCAGGCAGGCAGGCAGGCAGGCAGGCAGGCAGGCGCAAACAAAAAAACAAACAAACAAGCAACCAAACCAAACCAAACCAAACCACACAGAAACAAAGCAAAGCAAAACCAAACAATCAAGTGAGCGCTATGTCATATCAAGCAATCCTGCCTCACTCTTGGGACAAACCCAAGCAGCACCTGCTCTGGCTTGTTTCGAGATGAATTGTTGCTGCGCCCGGAAGGCAGCAACTGCTACCTTCTCCGAACAAAGAACACCTGACGCAGGTTTTAGCACCGATTGCAGGCAGAAAATCACCAGGCGTCTGTCTGCGTACCACTCCATACAGCGCATGTTGGAATACATAAGGCCAAGCAATCTGGTACAAACGCCTGTGCTCTTCGATTCAAGGTCCGTAAAACATAGTATGTGAGTGTGTTGTTTGAGGGGTAGGTTTCAAGGGCAACCAAAAGGAAAACCACCTTTCTTTTTGGGGGGGGGTTCCCGGATTTGTACACATACCCATACTGAAATCCTGCACCACCCAAGGCACCACGGGAAACCATCAATTGTTGGTATTTACAGGGGATCATATCATTCTAGGGTTTCCTAGGTGGTGCAGGATTTCGTCCATCCACAGTATTGGAACCAAAACAGTTCACTAGTGTCAACGCTAGCGTCACGGCGGGATTACCAGTCAATGAAACCAGCCCCAAGGCAAGGTGGGCCTGACTGGGTGGGTGGCCATACTCTGGGCGTAGGCAGCTTTTCGCTGTTGGCGATCCGGGAACCAAGCAAGAACCCGAACAATTCCGAAGGCAATCTACATCTGGGGCTCAGAGTTCGAGACCCACTTGGGTTCCCCACACGGCAGCAGCGGTGGGCATGTCGTTGCCAGCTCCCAAGATCTGAGCCGAGCCGAGCAGTCGGGGCTTAAAACAAGAAGCCTGGCTGCTAAGGCGGTGGAATCCACAGAATGGGGGTGGCATCATTCCCTTTGACAAGCCCCAAAGAGGATGGTCTCCTGAGTGAAAGAAAGACAAACCCAGATGGGTTGGGGTCAACACTTGGGGCCCACCAGACGCGGGCAGCATCCCTTGTTCAAGGTGCCTCCGTTGAGCTCCCTTCAAAGATACCAGGGCCTGGTTGTTTAAACCAATTCTCCCCAACCCCGGCCCTCGCGGAAAGGCCGAACATCCATGGGAGTAAGTGAACCACATCCAACCACAAAATCCTAGAAATGTGCAAAAACCAGTGTCCCTTGATCCCTTAATTCCAATGCTGAGGGAAGCTACAGAAAAGGTAACATGATATCACAATTTACAAGTCACAGAACAGACATACCTTGATCCCAAAACATCCCAAAACCACCACCTTCGGGTTGGTGCACATGCTCAAGCAACTGCAACCATTTGCTAGGCAGCCTACCTCGCGCTATGATGGTCTTAAAAGCGTTGCCAAAGATTGCCACAGCATTCTTGATTGTAGCTGGCAACCGGAACCCATGGCAAACCACCAGGCAACTCCATTCACCGTCCACGTGAGTGCCTCACGGAAACCTTATGCGTGGGTCTCCAATTTAGGGACCAACCAAATCGGAGCGTCTTTTTTTACGGGTGCCCATTGTTCTTGCGGGTTTAAAGGGAAACCCAAAGGAACGGGTTAACACCACACCATTTCGATTTGTTGTGGGTCCCCTCAAAAAAAGACACCCCCAAATTGCTCGTTTCTCTTTTGCTTTCCCCTTGACGGCCACGTGAAAGGATGGCCGTGTATTCACGTTGCCACCGGCCAACAGCTTGAAGACCCTGCCTGGATCTCAGCAGGGGCCTTGTGCCCCTTCATTGCCTGGGTCGCTCCAGCTGTTCCACAAGGGCGGGGGGTCCCTAATCCCCCAGTGCATAACCCGGAACAAGCTTAACCACCTCAATCTGGCGCAAGGATTGATTTTGAAGGACCCAAGCAGGGGCTGCAAGCGAACATGGAACCCCAACAAGGCGACAAATATCTTCATTCGGGTTCCATGAGATTGACAGGCTTGCAACATTTCGCCCAACCTGACAAGGATCCTGCGGCTGGTCATGCGATCCGCCTTCGCCCATGACATCTCTTTAGCTCGCCAAACCAAATAAAATAGTGCTGAACCCAGTAGTTCAGTGACCCAGAGAAAAAGAGAAGCGCTTCTTGGGTTGACTACTTTGTAGTGGGCGGTGGACCTATTGTGTATGTTTGGTTTGCATTGTCTTCTTTTTCAACACCATCCGGAATAAGTCCTGAAATTACGAAACAACGATTTGGGCATAATGTTGATGTGAGGATCTTTGATGGACATGTTTCTACATCGGGATTCGTGGCGAGGGTGTGTCCCTGACATCCTCAAAACTACCAAATCTGAAAAGAGACTTTGAGCCCCCCCTCTCAAGAACATGCGAAGGACTTTTAGCTGGGGACAAAACTGAGCCCACATCTGCGATACTCAGACAGTGTCAATCTCTGATTCTGATATATATACTTGGGTATAGGTCGAAAGAAGCCACCATAAAACCGCAGGTTTTAGTCCCTGGTTCCATTTACCAACGTCCATTTTGGATATCTATGCTTGACCGGTCTGTCACGTCTATCCTGAAAAAGCTTCGGAGACCCCAGAAATCCCCTCATCCCCCCGACACCCAAGAGCCACCGAAGGCCATCGAGGCGAATCGTTTTGAGGTTCCCCACGGAGAGGTGCTCCCGAATCGCTTGGAGGTGGTCTGCCGGGTTGCCAGTCACCTCCACCTCGAGCCGGCGAAAGCGAACTTGCGATTGGCCGAAATTCTTGGTGGGTAAGGTTGACCCAGGATTAAGAAACCCGTCCAATTATGAGGGACATGTGTTCCCTCCAAAAGTGGTCTGAATCCAACCACTAAAAGGAATTGGACACCCCCCGATCAAAAGCAACTAGGGGTTCTACTTAGATCCGGGGTTAACATTACCCCCCACGGGGCTTCAACCAAGTCCTTTTTTGGCTCCAAAAAGTGGCGGTGTCAATGCAAGCCGCGAGTTGATGGCAACTTTTGAAGGGGGTTTCCCCAGTGACCGGGGCCTGCCCTGAGGGGTTGATTCGCAAAGCGAAAGGGAAAGCATTGATGTTGGATTTCTTTGTTTGGGAGGGTATCCTGTTGCGAAAGGCACACCAAAAGTGGGTAGTGGGTGAATTTGCGTGATTTACCGACAAAGTAAGGGCTCCCCCTGAGGTTGCAAAACCCAAACTTTTGTGAGGTCGCCAGAACAGATCCAAAGCTGGCTTCGTGATGCTCTGCTTTAGGTAAGTCTCAGGGGGCCCTGCATTTGATTCACATTGGACATCTGAACATGTGCCAATGGTTTAAACCACGTTCCGGTGTACTTTAAAGCCACGTATAGTCAAGCGTATAGGGGTGACCGAAATTTGTTTAATTTATATAAATCCTTAGGGGCACGCCTGAACTCAAAACTTGTTGCATTGGCTGGCAGAAGCTGCTCTCTGCACCAGCCAAGCCCAGCTGGTGGTGCTCAGGCCGATTGGGTTTCGATGTTGAAGCAAGTTGTAGACAGATTCGATGCCCATCAAAGGCAAAATGCGGCAACTGCAAGTTAGCTGCCCACAAATCGTACACAAAACCTTTTCCGTGTCTCAGGAAATTGCTGCTGCCAGTGCAAGCTGAGCTGCTGGGGAAGCAAAAAAACATCCCCCACCTCTGTCGGCCCATGCAAACACGATTCCTCTTGGCTTTCCTGTTGGATCCAACTAACTGGGGAAGGATCCCCCGACCAAATGTTGTAGACTCGTTCGAAGGCGGGGCAAGGGGGGTGTCTGCAGCTCCTTTTGCTTCATGTATCTTCCTTTTGCTTCCTTTATGATCCTTTTGCTTCCTTTAGTTTCCTTTTGCTTCCTTTCGTCTCACTTGAGCCAAGAGAAGTACCCGAACTTGCCGCTTGCGACGAAAATGGCCCAAACCCACAAAGTGACTAAAGTCCAATAATAAAACATAAAACAGGAAGTGAGTAGTTTCCTTTCTTGCTGGTGCTCAGTAGGGAATGACCGAGACCGGATTCGGGGAATGAACCGGAAGCCGATTCCCACATAAAGGAAGCCAAATCGGATGGACGGTTTATCCTTGGGTCCCAGCGCATTTCTCATTCCCTACTGAGAAGTGGGTGCCTGGAAACTGGCAGACTACTGAGAAGTGGGTGCCTGGAAACTGGCAGGTCTGGCCAAGCAGCCACATGCACCAACTGGGGGTACCATTGCCGCATCATGTTCTGGAGCCGGCGGGTGGCCAAGCCTGCGGCCACGCGAGCGGGAATTTGACGCGAGAGGGCATTTGAAGCAGTGCCAGTTGGAGCCCGATGGCCGAGCAATCAGTCGGCAGGTGCCTTTGATTGCCTCCTCTTGCCTTTGACTCTTGTTGCAAGTCTACCTTCATGGATTGGCCCCGCGGAGTTTGCTGCACAAGTCTTAAAGGCTGACTTTCGGACAAGGAGTGGTGTACACGAGAGCCACAGTCAACATTACTTGATTTACCTGAATCGCCTGGTTTTTGGTCGTCGATTTCGAGAGTCCCCCTCTCGAAGTGACTGGACACTTGGACCAAACCTCAATGTGGCTCCGACCAAAAGCAACAGGCAGCCTCATCAGGTCGGCACATCCATCCAGTCACAGTCGCACGCCCAGATTGGGCAATTGCTGTAATTGATGTCTGGCGCAATGCACATGTAGAACTGAGACTCATGTCCAGGTGGTGCGCGTGCGCATCTGCATACATATAACATATTACAAACTCCACGAGCTCGTTTGCTGCCACAACGTGGAATAATTCCTGCCGGCCCGTCCGCATTTCACAAAGGCGCTCTCGTGTCTGTCTGTGTGTGTCTGTGCTGATTCTCCAAAACAAGTGGCACACCTCTCAGTTCTTTGAGGTCCGCAATTTGCTGTTGTCTCGCACATCAACCAGCACCATACCGGTGATGTTGGCACTGTATGAGTAGGAATGCAGTGGCTAGTTATCCAAGGGCGGAAGGTTTCGAATTTCTTCTACCAATCGCTTGTGGCGGCCTCGTTAGGACGGATGGCTGTTCAGTTTATGCGCATCATAACGTAGGCCGCTGGAAAAAAATACTGAGACACATGTCCTGGTGCCAAAGAAAGGCCGCACCGCGCCTAGATCGTCATTGATCAGGCGACCATTGAACATGTCCGCGTTTTGCTCGTAGAATTCGAGTTCGCCTCGGTAGGTTAACCTCCCTCGCCTCCTCGCAAACACTAAACCAACCTAGAGGGATGTCGCAAAGAGACCTTCATGGGGCCCAAGACTCAAACCAATCCCAGAAAAATCAAGGCAGGCAGGGGATCGATCGCAATCAAACCAAAGGTGGGCGTCTAAGCCCGCGATGAGCCGGAGGAAACTGGGGTCCAGCCCGATACAAAGAAGCCCCATCCGATTTGGGGGCTTGCCATGGGGGAACCGCAAAAATAGCCGCACAAAACAAGGATGCTGGCACCGGACCACCCAAGCTGCAGCTTTTTCCACTGCAACTTGACCCAAAAGGGGCCACCCACGTCAGGGATACAAAGAAATCCCATCCGATTTGGGGGCTTGCCATGGGGGAACCGCAAAAATAGCCGCACAAAACAAGGATGCTGGCACCGGACCACCCAAGCTGCAGCTTTTTCCACTGCAACTTGACCCAAAAGGGGCCACCCACGTCAGGGATACAAAGAAACCCATCCGATTCGGGGGCTTGCCATGGGGGAACCGCAAAAATAGCCGCACAAAACAAGGATGCTGGCACCGGACCACCCAAGCTGCAGCTTTTTCCACTGCAACTTGACCCAAAAGGGGCCACCCACGTCAGGGATACAAAGAAACCCATCCGATTCGGGGGCTTGCCATGGGGGAACCGCAAAAATAGCCGCACAAAACAAGGATGCTGGCACCGGACCACCCAAGCTGCAGCTTTTTCCACTGCAACTTGACCCAAAAGGGGACCCAAAAGGGGCCACCCACGTCAGGGATACAACCCAGATACAAAAACCCCATCCGATTCGGGGGCTTGCCATGGGGGAACCGCAAAAATAGCCGCACAAAACAAGGATGCTGGCACCGGACCACCCAAGCTGCAGCTTTTTCCACTGCAACTTGACCCAAAAGGGGCCACCCACGTCAGGGATACAAAGAAACCCCATCCGATTCGGGGGCTTGCCATGGGGGAACCGCAAAAATAGCCGCACAAAACAAGGATGCTGGCACCGGACCACCAAGCTGCAGCTTTTTCCACTGCAACTTGACCCAAAAGGGGCCACCCACGTCAGGGATACAAAGAAACCCCATCCGATTCGGGGGCTTGCCATGGGGGAACCGCAAAAATAGCCGCACAAAACAAGGATGCTGGCACCGGACCACCAAGCTGCAGCTTTTTCCACTGCAACTTGACCCAAAAGGGGCCACCCACGTCAGGGATACAAAGAAACCCCATCCGATTCGGGGGCTTGCCATGGGGGAACCGCAAAAATAGCCGCACAAAACAAGGATGCTGGCACCGGACCACCAAGCTGCAGCTTTTTCCACTGCAACTTGACCCAAAAGGGGCCACCCACGTCAGGGATACAAAGAAACCCCATCCGATTCGGGGGCTTGCCATGGGGGAACCGCAAAAATAGCCGCACAAAACAAGGATGCTGGCACCGGACCACCCAAGCTGCAGCTTTTTCCACTGCAACTTGACCCAAAAGGGGCCACCCACGTCAGGGATACAAAGAAACCCATCCGATTCGGGGGCTTGCCATGGGGGAACCGCAAAAATAGCCGCACAAAACAAGGATGCTGGCACCGGACCACCCAAGCTGCAGCTTTTTCCACTGCAACTTGACCCAAAAGGGGCCACCCACGTCAGGGATACAAAGAAACCCATCCGATTCGGGGGCTTGCCATGGGGGAACCGCAAAAATAGCCGCACAAAACAAGGATGCTGGCACCGGACCACCCAAGCTGCAGCTTTTTCCACTGCAACTTGACCCAAAAGGGGCCACCCACGTCAGGGATACAAAGAAACCCATCCGATTCGGGGGCTTGCCATGGGGGAACCGCAAAAATAGCCGCACAAAACAAGGATGCTGGCACCGGACCACCCAAGCTGCAGCTTTTTCCACTGCAACTTGACCCAAAAGGGGCCACCCACGTCAGGGATACAAAGAAACCCCATCCGATTCGGGGGCTTGCCATGGGGGAACCGCAAAAATAGCCGCACAAAACAAGGATGCTGGCACCGGACCACCCAAGCTGCAGCTTTTTCCACTGCAACTTGACCCAAAAGGGGCCACCCACGTCAGGGATACAAAGAAACCCCATCCGATTCGGGGGCTTGCCATGGGGGAACCGCAAAAATAGCCGCACAAAACAAGGATGCTGGCACCGGACCACCCAAGCTGCAGCTTTTTCCACTGCAACTTGACCCAAAAGGGGCCACCCACGTCAGGGATACAAAGAAACCCCATCCGATTCGGGGGCTTGCCGTGAGTTCTCCAAGCCGCTCTTTGCATTCCGCAGCCGCGTCTGGATCTTCTCCTCTGCGCCGACCGCCAAACTCTCCGTGTTCCAGGACAAAAACCCTCCGATGAGGGGCATGTAATCATCATGATGCAACAAATGAGAAGGGCCATAAACGAATGCTTGGAAAGCGGTCAAGTCAACACCATAGTCGCATCTTATGACCCTTTTGAGGCTCTCATAACAGAAGCTTTGCCCAGCGTTGATCCGCTTAAGTTCTGCGCTTTTGTCGAACCACAGCCACAAATGGATGTGAATTGCTAGGTCTTGATGAAAGCAACGGACGCAGCTTCCATTCTCAAACGAATCCACCATTTACGCTCACAGCCAGCTTTTGAAGAGCCACACTCGGAGGTTCCAGCCGCCAGCTGACCATCTTCATTTCCATTCGTGACCATTTCCCCTGGAAAAAACCGAGTGGGAGGGGGCTCAGCAAGCGCCATTGGAACCCAAAAAGAAATCAACCCACTCTCTTGCAAGGGCGCGTCTGTCCGTCCTCCGTCTCCGTGCCACGTGCCCGAAGCCTCTTTTCTAGTGCATCCAAACTTGGCGGCCCAATGAACCTGGGCTTGGCACAGGCTCGATTACAGCAAAGGCGGGAGGAAGCCCATGGATTCCGATAAGACCAACGACAGAACATGAGACACCCACAAATAGGTTCTTCTGAAAAATAACAGCCACACACTCACACACCTTCCCACGGCAACCAACGCCTTCCCGACAAAAAAAAAAGGAAGCCGCCAATCCATTCCGAGCCAAAAACACCCGTCCCGTTCCGTTAAAGGTGTGCGGCTTTGTGGCTCGGTGAGTGTGCCAAGCGACAAGTAGTTGAAGTCCCCGTGGATGTTCTTGATTTGGACTGCTCCTCAAAGACGGCACACATGTTTCTAAGCACAGACATGCAAGAATGGGCACATCTCAGGATTGAATCTGACACCCCATCGAAACTGCGATGCAACCAAATACAAACATGGAACAAAAGGAAAGCACACGGGCAGTTCAATGGTTGCAAGGCAGGGCTGTGGGAAATGCCCCCCCCCAAAGACTAACCCTCCACATAAAGGGGGGGATTCCCAAAAGTATCACAGAAGTGGGGATAAACCCCGAGTGATCCCACAACCCTGTTCCAAGGTGTTCCACCATTTCCATCGGCTGACAAAGCTCTGGCCTTGAACGTCGACGTCCAAAATACACACCTGGCCCTTCTCCCGCACCTTCTCCACCGCTGCCTCGGCCCGGGCAGCAGAACAACAAGCGGGGTCCCCTTACAGGGCTCCCTGTAGTCCCACCCCACCACCGCGTTACCGCAGAGAACAACTCACTTTGGATTGGCCCGAAAGGCGCTGTTTAAAGGCAGAGGCTAAGAAACATAGAGGACATCTTGTGAAAATGGACGCAACATGGACACGCGAGGAACCTAGGTCGCGAAATGGAAGATATTGTGCACAGTTTGGTTGGTCGAAAAGGAAACTGCTTCCCCTCTGAGTGGCCATGTGAAGAATATACTCAAAAAGGGAAGCAGGTCGCTCTAGAAATGGATCGTGCCGTCTGAAACCGTGTAGATTTTTTCGCTCGCCTGTCACGCTGCATAAATGGTGTCTTGTGTCGTCACGGCTGGAAGCAATTCCTAGAATCAGTATGATTGAAATAACTCATGAAATCGCTGGGAAAGTAGCCAAACACTCCCCCCGAAAAGGTTTTGTGAATTGCCCTGCTTTGTTCTCAGGATCTGGCGCTAAAAAAAAAACAAAATAAGTGCCCTTTGTGCCCATGGCCACTGGGGTCCAGGGTTCTGCACCTGGCCAAAATAACGGTTTGTTGTCATTATGGGGTGACATTGGGAGGGGGTGCCACAGCCAGGTCCAGGCCGCTTGGACAAGAGCATGAAAGAATCACTCTGAGCATTGGTCAACAAATTGAAGTTGCACAGGGAACCCCTCAGAAAGGGGCTGGAGGCTTTTCTGGGCCCAGGGCAGCGATGCTGAGAAATGCTTAAGCTCATGCTCACATCAAGGTGTAGGGCTCGGGTAGTGCCTCCTCGTGCCTCATTTGAGTCACGGGCCAGCCTGAGAGGTGCCGTAGACGTTGCCGTGCACCGTTGCGTGCTCCAGAAACCGCCCTGGCACCTGCAGCTCCTGAAAAGCGCTCGCAGAAAACGAGCCCTGAAAACGAACCCATCATGGTGACCTAGTGGAAAAGGGTACCCATGAGACAGGAATCCTATGGCAGTTGTGGCTGTTCTTGTTGACGTGGGAAGTTCTGTGAAATTTTGTCCACAGGGTCTCCACGTGGGAGGATGTCTCCACGTGCCCATCAGTTCGTGGCTGGTGTACTTGCGGCCTAAATGTGGCAGATTACTGAGTGCAAAGTTTCACTGTTTCATGGATGATGGTCCAAACCAAGCAACCCCCGGAGCCCAGGCCACTTAAGGAAACATCTTCAGCGATGCGGAGCGCGTGCAGTGTCCAGGAAAATCACACAGGGAACCCTCGTTTCTGTTGCGAAGGTGGCTGCCACAAAAGAGAGCGGCGGGCTTGATCTCATACCCTCAACCAAACCTAACTAGGAAAAAGCGAATCCAGGGTACTGAAACATCTAAAGGTGGGCGTCCGCAAAAAGGATCCTTCCGCAGTGGTGGCGTTGCTGATCCCCCTGGTGAGGCTGCAATAATTTGCCCCAACAAGATGTCATCAAAACATATCAAATCATATGTTGATATTGTGCAAACCACCTGCTTTAAAAGCTGTCACCCTTCGGTCCACAGGCACACGTTCCAGCCAACTGCTTCCCCCAGCCTCTTCCATTTTGCTCATGTCAACGAAGTAGTACGCTTCTCCGTCCACCTGTCGGCATGGGTGGTCGGACCAGCAAGATGCCTGAAGCCTATTGTTTCCATTGTTTCCAACACCACACCAAACTTAATGCTGACCCCCAAGCCTGAGTCGGAGGCGAAAATGGCAAACACTTGGACCCAAGACATGGGACCCTGCGGCCTCGTTTGACTGCCCTATTGCCATGATTGTCGACTTGGCCCATGGCCGCCAGTATGAACCCGATGAACCAGAAAGGCAGTTTTGCATCACGTGATCTGGGCAAAGCGGCACAGGTGCTTCAACATTGATCCACCCCATGGTGATATAAATGCAAAGGCTTGATTCTCAAATGTAAACTGTAAACATCGACTGCCATTTGCACTGGTTACATTTGCACAGGTTATCTGTCTGTTGTGTCGAAATGCCTGTCGACGCTAGTCTGCACGACATGAGACAAACATGTGAAGACCCAACAACGCTATTGGAGGGCTACCCAAAACCGATTCCTCCCAACCTGCAAAACCGACAGCGGCACACCCAGAACGGATACACTGAAAAAACTGAACGCAACGTATCCGTTGCTCGTGTCCAGCAAAAGTCCGTACACATTGTCTTGCCGTAGCGTCAAACGAATCTGCTTGGCTTGCCACTCGCACGAAGGTGCAAACAGCTTGCATTGGTTGCCTGCCACATCTCAAAGTCCATCGTTCCTCCCACTAGCCTGGCACCTGGAGAATCCCTGGACGACCAATTTCCTCTCTGTGGTTTGCCGGGTCAATTGGGAGAGAGGATCATCCCATTTCAGCTTCAAACCACCAAAGGGTCCCGGACAGGACATGGCCAGGAGCGCCTCTCCAGGTCTTGGCTTCCGAGTGGTGTGCGACACCGAAAAGCCGAAGTGACCTGTTGGGCGCCACGGCGCCAATGGCTCGGTCACTCGAGACTCGAGGGCCCCTCAATTTTTGTTTGTTTCTCATGGGAGAACGGCGGGTTTCCAAGTGGGTGTCCGGCGTCCTCGCCAACCTGACAAGGGAACCCTCAAAAAAGACACACACACAGAGACGTATTTGTTTTTAGTTGTGTGTGCAGGTCATCAGGCTCCCTGCTTCTGCATGTGAGGCTGTTGTGGAATATCTTTGCCACAGCCTCAAACGTCGAAGATGGTTCTCTCTCTTGGCGAGCAAGCAAATGCTTTAACTTAGGGGCATGGAATTGAGTGGATGAAAATTATGGTCTTCATGTCACGCAACATCTTCTCGCATGAAGACCACTGAGCTATGAGCTCTTCTCTGCCAAAAACGATGACCTTTGGGCCCGTGAAGGCCAGAAGTAATGAAACCAACTGTTCCACACACCGATTCCCTGACCCGTCAACTGAGCAAATGCAAATAACACCAACGGATGGCAATGCATCAAGAGCCGCAGGTGTTCATCGATCCATGTACGCTAATAACCAGAAACATCAAACAAACACACCGTGTTGAACCAACCGGGATGGATGTGACAATGTTGCGTTCCCTGTTTTAAGGGCATCATGTGCTTGCGGCCCGTGCCTTACCTTCTTGCGTCTAAGACTGTCGTTCCCACATTCGCTGTGCAGCTAGAAGGTCCTCGTCGCCATTGCGAGTAGCTGAATGCTTTGCAGAACGCCCCAGCCGGTCATAGGGCAGCAACTCTGTGCAACAACACCTTGCAATGTTTCACAACAGTATCCCTCGACGTAAAACGCTGTGGGCAACTCTGACATATCCTGAACGCCAACTGGCCGCCGAAATCCGAAAAGCCATCGAGTTTTGGCACCCATAATGTGAAACCGAGAAGAATCATGTCAACCAGAACGCTAACGGGGGGTGGGTAGCTTTTGGCCTTTGGGTGCGGAGATCCGGACATTCTGGCGCCCCAAAACACGTGGTCTTGTTGGGCCGTCCCGCCTGTAAAGCTCGCCTTGATCTTGCTGATCAGTGTCCCTTTGCCCACACCGGAGGGCCCCACGATGACCAAAGGCCTCACATTGAGAAGCTCCATAGGATCAATGGGCCGAAGCGGCAAAACGGGCAGGCTCTAAGTCAACAGATCACAAAATACGACGGGAAATACTGGTGCCTTAAGTTGCTGATTGCTGCTGAATGAAAACGGGAACTAGTACATATATATATATATATATACATATTTGTATGTTGTGCTGTTGAAGGAATGGCATGAATAGACATGCACGTTACTCTGCACACGCACTGTAGACGAGTTATCTAATCAAGTTCTCGATGCAAGTTCTCTACTCCCTGTCCCATTTGAAACAATGCGACCTATCAATAAATATGGTGTTTCCCGACCAATAATCTCCCAATACTAAACAATAATGAGGCAATACGAAACTTGCAATCTGAACCATCAAGTCTCCTGCAGTCGTACTAGTGAGGCTTTCCCAAACACATTGAACAATTGACGTGTTTCAGTGCAACTTCAAGTGCGCCCCTGAATGTTGAGAATCAACAAGTACACCCTTGAAGGTTGAATTGACAAATCCAACAAATGCCTTCAGCGGCTCCGTAGATGAGTTCCTACGTTCTTGCTAGTGTTTGCTTTGCAAAAGGGGATTCCATCAAGGTGACCAAAGCGGAAACTCCGGGATTCCCCTGGCCCCTCTTAATGGTAGTTGTGTCCCAACGTGTACAAATCTGTATCATATCTATTTATCATGTCTATTATTGGGGTGAGGATTTGCTTTGTGGTTAGGGGAAGGGGTGCAATTCAGGTGCATTCTTTCTATGCAACCTCTCTGGGCAGGCTTCTCTGTGCGTATAACTTCTCTAATTACGCCACGCAAGCTCTGTTTGTAAATATCTTCGTGCATTTCCCTGTCAAGTTATCTATGCCAACTTCTCTAGGCAAGTTCTGGATTCAAGCTAGTGCAGGATATCTAGCGGAAAAACAATTTGCGATGCTTTTGGAAAAGTAACAACCATCATCAATCCGCGTGACTAAGGTGCAGCGAGTGATGAATGATGGCACTGATAGGCCACTGTGGGCTGTATGCTGAAGTCCAAGACACATCCGGGACATATTTTGGGGCCATTTGGCTGGCTCTTCCTCATCCTTTCCA